GCGCACAAAACGACGAGTTAGACATACTTGTCGGACATGAAAACCGGAGGTCCAGCTTTGTGCCATCGTACTCGCATCCCATCTTGACACCTTGAAAGCAGTCGTCATCCTATAGTGACCCTTCCAGCGCCAAACACATGGCATCCCCCAGTTATAGCAACCTACGGCGGACGTGATCGAAATCCGGTTGAGTAAGAGTAAAAGAGCAGTGAAGTAGATGTCAGATGTTCTAGTAGTGAGAACATTCTATTTTTATCCACCGCTGGACTTTATTTGACCATGTGCTAATCAAGTCCAGATGCACATTAAACGGTTCCCCATGGCCCGGAAAGCGCAGGAACAATGAAAAACGCATCGCTGTGGTGCAAAATATGCCAAAATTGACATAACTTTACCTGACCCTTGCATGCACCAGAAAGGCGATAGCAATAGGCGGGGAAAGGATTCCACCCGCAAACTCCCTCACCTAGGTCCCACATGCACTTTGCATAATACTCACTCCAACTAGTTCAAGTATGTAAATTTTGCAGTAGCGGGAGAGTAAAAGTGGATACTAGGGATCCCTACTTCTAGAAAATTTGGTAAAAGAAAGAACTGACCTTGGTAGGATCGTGATACCAAGCCCCATCAATGAAAAATTTGTACTCGTGCCTGCCAGGGGGACAGTCCACAATCACCACGTGGCCAGATTTCCTGTCGGCGAAAAAAACAAAGCGAATAGTACCATAACCCGTCTCCAGCTTTCCAAGTAAAAGGAAAGTTCCTTAGTGTGGACAACAAAGCAGACGGAGCTTGGCAGACGTAGTGGATTTATGCGTGGGCGCAAAAAAATGCACCACACCAAATGACATGGAGAGGTAAAAAAGCCACATATAAATTCTTAGCAGTGACTTTGCAATGAGTTGGTACACAGTAAACAGCGATAGCGGTGACAATTAACCCAGCCTTGAATAAGTGCTACACTTGAGCATTGACCTCTTCGAGGGGCTTAAATTGACCAATTACGAACCCACCAGTACAGACTTCCAGATCTTAGAGGTTGGTTGACTAATGAAGAACACAGTTAAGCGCAGAGAGCGCTATAGTCTTCCAAAACAGCTGCAAGCAAGGGTTGCCAGATGAAAGCAACAAAACAGCCTTGTCAAGCAGAATAGTAAGTGATTAAGCTTTGAACGACGATCAAAATGCGTAGCCTGCGGTGGACAGAAGTTACAAGGGAGGTGTTAAAAAGAGAGCACAGAACTATCATGAGTTTTGAAGTTTTAGTACTAGTGGAAAGGGAAGAAGCAACCTTCCTGCTGTGACTAAACGCTTTGGGGCATAAAATTGTGACATAGCATGGCATGACGCTCACACTTTTGAATCTCTGAGGACGGATAATAAATGTTTGCATGTAGTACATCTCCCATAGTTAACTTCAAATGTGCCTACCATGCAAATGCCAACACCCATCCTCAAGAGATAATGACATCAAAATTCCAGCTTCAAGACACGACAGAAAGAATGTAACAAGCGAGTTATTGTTTAGGGATTGCAACGCCTGTAATTGGGTTATAAGGTCTAACAGATTGGATCAACTCATCCTGCAGAAGCTAAAACTGGAATCTTGGATTGTACAAACACAGGCGACAAGAAAGGTTATAATGCAGCTGCCTGTCCAAGTCTAAGAGCAGTTTGGAACTCACCGAAGGTTCAAGTGAGTAGGAAAATAAATTTATGATTCTAAAAAGCCGTCCAGCATCGCTGATAAAATATAACCCAGGAAATTATACTGATCAAAGGTAATGCTGCTACAAGAACACGAAAACCCAAATAAGCACACAAACGAGCGTCACAGTTCGACGAACCATACATACAAAATCGGATGAGCACATAAACCGAACCAGACTATTAAAATGAATCAAACCAAAGTAGAAGGATACCCACTCACCGTCGAGCCATTGGTATTTTTTTTTGCCAGTTGTCAAAAGTGCCACTGACATAAATTTCATGTCCGCCACCATTCCAACGAAAGACAGTGGGAAGAAGATGCTTTTGGGGAGTAGCAGGGGTCATCTCGACATCAGTGGGCAGATCAATACCACCATTCCCAACACCTGGACTCAACATTCCTGGATCACCGGGAGTGTAACTGACTGGAGGTAGCTCTTGAGCAGAAGATGGCACAGGCAAGGAGACTGGGCGCGTAGAAGACCCAGAGGGGATAGGAATGGACATGGAGGGAGATCCATGGTCCTGAAGGCTGGCTCCATGTAGCATCCAAGCCATGTTATCCACGTCCTGTCGATCGAAGTTGGTACCGATAGGGGCAGAGCGAGGAAATCCCTGATACGAGTAATGAATTTGTATATTAAAAATTACAATTCCTAGGAATGATAGTGAAAAATACCTCTTGTTCGGACAAGGTGGGGCGTTTGTTAGGAATATCCATAGAAATATGAGGAGGTGTGTCTTCAAGAGAATTGGCGTCGAGATCACCGGAAAGACGTCGCTTGCTATGAAGTGGTGTATTTCCCATCATACAGTGTGTCCTATTAGGACCGAGAAAAGGTATTCCTATCGAATTTAAAGCCGAACTAGGGAACATTAAGAAGAGCTCACCATATCGAAACCTAAATTAGGCGCGACAGGCGGATGCGTTATCACGACCAATCAAGAGAAGAAGAGGCATTAATGATTATAAGTGCAAACAAATCTTAATTTACCAAAAGGTACTAGGTTTATTCTAACAAATCTCAGAACTGACGTCAAAACAAGATATATGCTAGACCATAATGTAATACATACTGGTTTTAAGTTGACGGTCATAGGAGAGTAGCGAGAAGCGAATTGGAACGTGAATCCCGTGCGTGAGGACCGTGAGGAATGCCTCTCCGAGTGATATTTGCTCTTCGACTCATCTATACTCCTATCCTCGTTCTTTCCGTAATCAATGCCTAGCAGGTTTACTGCAACCAAATCTCTCCTGAAGTCCGTGGTTCAAGAGCATGAGGCTAGGCAGGCAGTTCCTACACATAATAAGGAGGTCAGAGGGGAAAACACGACAAATTCCAAATTGTTACACTTTTCGTAATGATTCGTAATTGCAGTGGCCAAAGGGAATGGAGTTTACACGTGGAGCATATAATAGATCCTATGATTTATCGAAATATAAACATCTAGACTAAAAATCTTATGAGTAAGGAACCGATTAATATTAAAGATATTTGCTGTAGCTTAATAGTTTTAAGTCTTTATAGCACCCTTAGACTTCCCAGTAGGTAAAGGAAGGCACGTAGTACGGCTAAAGATGTTTTTAAAAGGCAACCAAAGGGACTGGCACTTAGCTTGGTATGAAGGTTAGGCCATGTGTACGTGAGCAAGATGAATGCTAGAATTCGTCAGACACAGGTGGCTACATAAACCAAGTATCACTAAAGGGCTGAACTTATACCTTCTATGATGATAAGAAAAGATTAGACTTTGGCATATCCCAAATGACAGCTCAAGACTACAAGAGAAAGATTAATACTACTACGGTCGCCAGTTATCAAGTAGTCCCATAAACAAAGCATTACAGTTCCCTCTTTGCTTTGAGATACATCCTCAAGTGTCCTTTAGCACCCT